CCCCCGTGCCTCTGCTCGTGCTCCCGACCTCCCCTTGGCCGCCCCCCCCCCCCGCCCGCAGGGCTGGTGCACCCTCCTCCTGCGGCAGCTGATCTGCCGGTGTGTTGCTTGCTCGCTGCCCCGCCTGTCTATGCCGCCACCCGCCGCCACTCGGCGGGCGCCTGATGCCCCGCACAGGACAGACCGGGGGGCGCGGGGGGCGGGGCGATGGTGTTGTTTTTGTTGTGACCAGCCCCCCCCCCCGGCCCGGGGGTTCTCCCCGTGAGCTGTGTGGTCCCCGGGCATGCGTGTGTGTGTGTGTGTGTGTGTGTGTTTGTGCCTGCGGGGGGGCGGGGGGCTCACGAGTGCGGTCCCAGGCGGGGGGCTTCGCCGCCCCCCCCTCACCCCGCCCCCCCCCCCGCGCCCCCCGCCCGCCCCCCCCCCCCCCCCCCCCCCCCCCTTTCGTCCCGGAGGCCGGCGCGCGCGCGTGCGCACCGCCCAGAGGGATACACCCCCCCGCCGGCTTCCTCCTCTCGGGGCTCCCCCCCCCCCCCCCGTCCCCTGTCCTCGGTCTCTATGAAAGGCACCGCCCCGGTGTCCACCCGCTCTGGGGGGATCTTCACCATACTTTTTTGTTGGGGCCCCTTCTGCTCTAACGCTCTCTCCTCCTCTACCCTTTTTTCCCCACCCCCTCTCTCGAGTGGTTCGTTGTTCCTCTGCTTGTCCCCTCTCTATCCCTCTCCCCCTGCGTTTGGCTCCCCCGCGCCCTCCTCCCCCCGCCCCCCCCCCCGCTCGCGCATTGTGCGTCGCGTCGACCAAAATGGCGCGCCTTTGCGCCGGGAGGGGGGACGGCAGGCAGGCAGGAGCGGCCAGCGGCGTGCCGATATGCTGTCCGGGACTGTTTGGCGTCCGCGCCGGCGCCCCCCTCCTTCCTCCCTCCGATGCCGGACCCGCTCTAACATGTTCCTCTGCCCCCCCCCCTCCCCCCCCCCTTTCCTCGCATGTGCAGGAGTGTACCCCTAGCCACCATGGTGCGTCCCCCCCCCCTCCTCGCTCTCTCCCCACACTTCTGTGCCCGCCCGCAAACGCGGCCCCCTCCCTCCCCCTGACACTCTCGGCTTCTTCTCCCCCCCCTCGTCCTTTGCACCGCGGCCAGTCTGCTCGTAAGGCCAAGACCAAGAAGCGGGCGGCCCGCCAGACCTCGAACATTTTCGCCATGTTCGACAAGACCCAGATTGACGAGCTCAAGGATGCCTTCAACATGGTCGCTCGTGACGACGGCTTCATTGACGTCGAGGACCTCCGCAACATCTACAACTCTCTCGGTGCGCGCGCGCGCCCTCCCCCCTTCTCCTGCCGCCCCTCGCTCTTCCCTCTTCGCAAAAGAGCCCGGAGAGGGGCCCCGCGCCTCCCCTTCTCTCCCTCTCCCCCCCTCCCACGCACGTCCACCGACGACTGACATGCTTCCTTTGCCCGTGACGCGCACTCCGCCGCCCCCCCTCCTCTCTTCTCCCCCTTCCCTTGGCGTGTGCGCCCCCACGCAGGCCAGACCCCCTCCGACGAGACCCTTGAGGCCATGCTTGCCGAGGCCACCGGCCCGATCAACTTCACCATGTTCCTGACCCTCATGGGCGAGAAGCTGAGCGGCTCCGACCCCGAGTATGAGATCATGCAGGCTTTCGAGTGCTTCGATGAGAACCAGTCCGGCACCATCCCGGCTGACGTCCTCCGCGAGGCTCTGACCACCATGGGCGAGCGCTTCACCCAGGAGGAGGTCGACATCATGTTCAAGGGTGTCAAGCCCGATGCCCAGGGCAACTTCAACTACCGTGAGTTCGTCCGCGTTCTCAAGCACGGCGAGTAAGAAGAAAAAGCACGCGTGTGGCTGTGCCCGCGCGCGTGTGCGCGTGCCCGCCTCCGCGCCCGTGCGCCGCGCCCCCTCCTCCTCCCTTCTGTATGTGTGTGTGTGTCCCCTGCGCGCGCGCGTGTGTGTGTGTGTGTGGTGCGATGTGGCGCGCGCATGCTTCCCCCCCCCTCTCTCTCTCTCTCTCTCCCCCCCTCGCGGTGAGGGGGGGGCAGGGGAGAGACGCATGCGCACGTTTTTCTCTCTCGCTCCACACTCCATCCTCCCCCCCCCACGCCGCAGTGTGTGTGTGTACATATATGTGTGTAGGTAGGGGTGCACCGCCGGTGCGCGCGCGTGCGCGTGCTCTCGTGCGTGTGTACATCTACAAAGCCAATAATGATGATGTCGCGACCTTGTGTTTTCCTTCTCGTGTGCAGTGTGTGGTGGTGTGCGGTGTGTTGCCTCCCTCTCCCTCTCTCTCTCTCTCTCTCTCTCT